ATCAAGAGGTTTCTCACAAAATTGGGAACATGCTCTATAAACATGGCCTAAGAGGTAAGGAGCCAGGGCTATGCATTTTTTCAAAACAAGTGCCTTCGCAAGTGGGGCGAATTCAGGCATAATCCTTTGAGATGATGTACAAAAGAGAAACTTACACAGCTAGTATAAAATAAAGGAAAAAAGTTCTCTATCTCTCACGGGGCCTACCCTTTTGTTTTCAGCCTTTATAAAGTCACTATAGGAGGAATTTAAGGATGGAAGGGGAAACTTCACAAGAAGGTCCGGATAGCCAGGTGTAAAAAGAGTACTAAGGGGTGAAAGCCCTAGGAGATGGCAGATATCAAGAACGGTGGGGGCCATCATGCCACACCGAAACTGAAAAAAATTAAAAGCCATGTTCCAAAAGTAAAGAGCAGTAGGAATTAAAAAAGGGTCTTCAGGAATGCTAAACTTGAAAAAACGAAGGGCATCGAGAATACAAAGCTCTTGCAGGTCATCTTCTCTTGCAGGCACAACTCTCTCATACCATTCCTCCCATTCAGCTCTCAATGTCGGCCAGCAACGGTGAGGTCGGGTCATTCTCCAATTTCCTCAGTCGAGCCCTCCTTCGTAGAGAAGAAAGTGGTCCTCCAAGCGAGGGTATAAAGCTGGAAGTTGAGCAGGAGCTTCTCGAAAGATAGGATCGAGGACATATTCTTGTTTGTGGCTGTGACGAGGAACAAAGAGGCGTCCATCTATGGCACTTGACCCATCAATTGTTAACTTGGCGATTTCTTCATCGATACATCTTTTCAAAGCCATGGTTGGGCTTATACGATCGCCAGCAAGTTCTTTCAGAGAAGAAGAATACATTAGTAGCAAGCAGCGAGGAAGAGAGAGTTAATAGAGGAGAAGGGTTTATGTGTTAAGTGAGCGAGTGATTTCAGAACACGAAATAAAAGGGTTTTAAAGAACTTTTGTGTCTTGAAAATATATCGTGTAATTCGTAAAGTACTAAAGGTACAAATACGAAGAGTTTCCTTCAATATTGATACTTTTGGAGGGAAAAACACATCCCAGATGTTGATGTCAGCTTCGGAATAAAATATTTGGCTTCAAAACCAGATTTTGGTGCCAAAAGTCAAATAACAGCGGCTTCGAAACTGAGAAGCCGCCTTTGAAGCACATTCCATACCTAAAGATGTATGAATGCACAAGTATTTGTTTACTTCAAAGGGATTAAAAACCTGTTTTAGGCTTTTTAATGAGAGTAATGTCCTTCAAAGCAAAACTTGATACCCCTTAAGGATGGGAATTGGTGTTCGAAACATCAAAACCAATAGTTGGTTTATATATACCGAAAGGATTGTCTTTTCGGACTAAAACAGTGCAGCCCTCAAAAAAGGCTTCCATATTTTTGAAAGTATGGACTGTTGTTCGAAACAAAAATGGTCAATTTAAAACTGATTGATCGTATTAACCATGACCATATTTTGGTTATGATTAAAACAAGCTTTAAGGGGCAAGATTATTAAATTCGAAGCACTGATTCTAAATAAAAATCAGCAAAAACTGTCAACTATAATCCATAAATTGGAAAAGTTCAAGTTGGTTTTTTAGTGTTTCATTTAAAGCGATTGAATCCAGATTCGAAGGATAAGATTGTTCAGTTTGAAGCCCTAAATTTGCTTTTAAAGACAAACGGAGACAAAATAAAACAATGCCAAACAACTTAGTTGTATTAATGCAAAAACAATTACATCGAATGGCCCTCTTTGGGTACAAATTCGAG